ATTATTTTTCTCTACTGTTTTTTACTGTAAAATCTGCAATGGATTCACTTACATTACTCCGTGGGTTACCACAGTTGTATCTTGAACTTTAAATAATTGTCCCCTTTTCATCAAAGTCTACAAAGATGGGGTCAGTTACTTTAGAACATCCTTTGACAAGATAGATTATTCTCCTTATCTTTGTTAAACTGTGAAACTGACTTTAATATATCACCCATTAACTCTCTCAACATGGGTTTGGTCAATTTGACTGACCACATGACCTCTTTGTACTCAATTAAAGTCTTTATAGATTTAATGCTTCTAACTTTCAATATAGTACGTATATCTTCACAAAATTTTGCAGTATTTCAGTTCATATTATAAGTCTTTCGCATACAAAAAATCATATTTTTAATAAAAATAAATTAAAGATTTGTCCATTGTTATATTAAGTATTTGTTTTGAATAGTCTGTGTGCAAAGCAATTTTCATGTTAAAACTAAAAATTCTTTTCCTTATCTCAAAATAACCTTTACTGAGACTGATCTTTGAAAAGAACTTGGCCCCATCTAGTTTTGCCATGATAAGCCCTGGGTTGCCTGTGGGTTCAGAGTCGAACGTAGTCACAAGGTTCAGCTTCCAGAAGTCTATGCAGAAGCGGTTTGATCTATCCCTCTTCTTCTTGATTACCACTGGTGAATAGTAGGCTGAATTTAAAGGCTTGATGATTCCAGCTTCTAACATTGCCTCAACTTCCTGCATTTTCAGTTCTCTCATCGCAGAAGTCATTTGATAGGGCTTCACCTTCACTGGATCTCTGGTTGTGGTCTCAAACTTATGTTGGATAAGGTCTGTCTTTCCTGGTCTATCCATGAAAATATTTGCTTACTTGCACAGTAGATCTCATAGCTCTGTCTTGTGCTTGCCAGTCAGTTCTTCACTGATGTTTTCATCTTTCTATCTCTCATCTCCACTCAGTAGTGTTAGGTCTAATACGTCTTCATCTTTTATGACAAAGTCGCTGTCTTCTGGTTCTGCATCTATGACAGCCACACCTGCAACATCTATTTCTGTCTCAATAGCTGCACCCCTTAGGTCTTCTCTCTTGAAGTACCTAATCAACATATTGGCATGGTAGATCTTGGTCTTGCCATTTACTTTTACCCTATAGTCCATTCTATTGAGAGCTTCCTGCACTTTAAAAGGTTATTTCCACTGCTGGGTGAGTTTGTTGTTGTCTGTGGGCATCAGAATTGAGACCTTCTGTCCTACCTTGAAATGTCAATTTTTGGCTTTCTTGTCATAGAAGTGCTTCTGATTGCCTTGAGCTGAATACAAGCTCTCTCGAGTGAGTTGACAGGTCTCCTCCAGTCAGTTTCTGAGGTCTAACATGTATTGGTGTGTTCCTCACTTCTGACTCTTCTTCTCCTGTCCATAACTCTTTCAATATCTGCAGCAGACTTATAATATTCTTCTGTACAGTAACTTGAAGGGTAAAAATCCTGTACTTGCTTGTGAGACTTCTCGCTAGGGAAATAATGCTGCCTGCAAGTACGTGTCCCAGGCACTTGGTCTCTAATGGCACATCATCTTCAGCATACTCTTTAAGACTCCATTGACTCTCTCATAAAATACATTACATCTAGGGTTGTCTGGTGACTGCAGATGCTTCATCAGTTTCCTTTCTGTGTGGCTCCAGATCTCTCATACCTCTTCAGGAAAGCATCCATGTCATCTTTCTGTTCACCAAATTTGAGCAGTTTCAGTTGGTTGGCCCTGACCCTGTTGTCATTCATTGGCCCTCCATCTTTCTGTTGGGTGAACTTTGTGATCTCAATTTGTGCTCTTGTTCTCTCTCTTTCTCTCTCTCTCTCTCTCTCTCTCTATATATATATATATATATTCCACTCTCTTCTTTCTCTCTTTGTGCTTTTATCCTCTATTTCCAGTCTTTTCTTTTTCTTCTTTTTGCCTTTATCTTTCTTCTGTTCTCTGTTGATGCTCTTCTCTCTCTAGGTCTTGTTGTTTAACAGACTCTTGTAAATCACCGTCTTTGAGCCCAAGTTGCTTGCCCCTCTTTATCCACTAATCAAAGTCAGATGACGTGGGTGTATAGCATAGTTGTAATCTCTGCAATGTTTTTGCCAGCACTATAGCTGTGTGTGTATATATATATATATATATATATATATATA